CAGTGAGAAGTAGAGTTTTGAGCAAAGACCTGGAGGAAGTGAGCTATAAGATATCTGGGGGAAGAATATTCCATAAAAGGATCTATGACAAGAGTAAGCTGAAACATTCAAAGAACAGTGAAGAGGCCAGCATGGCCCAGGTGAAGAACTGAGAGGCAGAGCAGTAGGAGATGAAGTCAAAGAGGTAGTGGGGACCAGATCAAGGCAGGGCCTTAGAGTTCATCCTAAGGATGTTGACTTCTACACTAAAAAGTCATTTGAGGGTTTTCAGCAGAGGAGTGGCATCTGGCATAGGTTTAATAAAGACCACACTGCAGCTGGGTTGTGAATAGACTGAAGGGAATGAAGTTGGAAGCATAGACCTGTCAGGAGGCTATTGCATTAGTTCAGGCAAGTTATGATGGTGGCTGGGATCAGAGTGGGGGCAGTGGAGTGATGAGAAGTGCGTACATTGTAGCTATATTTTGAAGGTAAATCTGACAAGATTTGTCAGTGGATTGGCTATGGGGTGTAAGAGAAAGAGTTAAGGATGATTTGACGCTTTGTTATCTGAGTAACTGCGGGGATGGATTGCCATTAAATAAGATGGGGAAGACAATGGGAGAAGGAGATTTTGGAGAATTACATCAGGAGTTCCATTTTGGACCTGTTAAGTTTGAGATGCCTATCAGACATCCAAGGGGACATGGGAGGAGAGGTGTGGGATGATGGTGTAGGTTTGAGAGTCATCAGCATATAAATGGTATTCTGATCAGGAGGGTGGATGAGTGAGTGTAGATAGAAAACTGAAGAGGTCCAAGAACTGAGCCCTGGGGATGCTAAAAACAAACAAACTCATTGCTGTGGAGTCGATTCCAACTTATAGTGACCCTGTAGGACAGAGTAGAACTGCCCCATAGGGTTTCCAAGGAGTGGCTGGTGGATTTCAACTGCTGACCTTTTGGTTAGGAGCTTGAGCTGTTAACCACTGTGCCACTAGGGCCCCGAGCCCTGGGCATGCTAGCATGTAGAAACTGGGATTGGCGGAGAGGTTGAGGAGGAAGCAGCAAAGGAGTCTGAGAAGGAAAGGACAGAGAGGTAGGAAGAAATCCAGGCAATTGTGATTTCCTGGAAGCCAAGTGAAGAAAGGTTTCAAGGATGAGAGAATCTTTTGTGTCAAATGCTGCTGTTAGGTCAAGTTAGTTGAGGACTGACACTTGAGGTTGGTTTTACCACGTAGAAGTTACTGGCAATCTTTTTAAAAGCTGTTTTAGTGGAGTATTGGGGGATGAAGGGCTGATGGAGTCGGTTCAAGAAAAAATGGGAGAAAAAGAATGGAAGACATTACATATAGACAGATCTTTTGAGTTTTGCTGTAAAGGGAAGGAAAGAAATAGCTCAGTTCTGAAGGGTTCAGCTGGATGAGAGATGGAATACTTAGAGAAACAGAAGCAAAAGCCTATGAGTCAGTGAATGGACATTTGTACATTTTAGCAGGACCACTGTGGCTGCTGAGTTGAGAAAAGATTAAATGAGCATCTTCTTATTCTGAGTTGTCAGTGGTGGCCAAATTCCGTGCTTTTTTTCATATGCCACCTTGCAGATAATGCCTGGTACATGCATGGATAAGTCAGCAAGAAGCTAAGTGATCAGGACAGGAAGCAGAGCTAGAGCTTGCAAAGGTGTGGAGTAAGATGTATTGTCAGGAGCACAGTAGAGACAAAAACTGGAACATCATTGTTGGTTCCTTGCCAAGAATTCATACCACAAAACTGACCTTACCACCTTAGGAACTGGAAGTGGTGTGAGTACAGTTGGCTCTCGTGCCCTGAATCCTCTCTTTCAAGTTCGGTATTAGTCCCGGTTTTTCATACAACCATGAAATGGATAAAGGTCACAATTTATTCTCAGGAGGTGAAGAGGAGAGAAAGTGGGATGGGGTAGTTTATTTTAGCCCCACCCTAGAGTGGAAAAGATAATATGTGAAGAGAAAGATCCTGCCAGTGAAAACCGTGCAGTTGTTAGCTTTCAGCTCCCTTGTTTCATTAAGTCAGGTTAAGGGAAAATTATTTTATTATGACACATTCCATTTGGAATTCCCCTGGGCCGTTTATTTCACTCCCTTAATAGTCTCTATGTAGCTCAGTTTATAGCCAGAATGGGCTGTGGCTGCTTGGCTTTGTTAGGAACCCCTTTGGGCGGCTTCTCTAGGCTTCCTTAACCATCTAGCCTCATTACACCTCGCTGTGGGCAAACCTGTATTCTGACTTTTCTCCAGAAAAGGGTTCTTTGGGTAAGACCAGGAGCTCTGCTTTGCTCCTTTCAATGCAGTGCCTATGTCCATGAAACTCAGCATGCAAATATAACTTCAAGAGGGTTTGGATATTCTTGGGATGAGATGGGGATCACCAGTGTTCCCTGTGAGGCACTCAGAGTGAGAAAGTGCTGTGTGCTCAAGGTCATGTGGCAGAGGTAAGGGGGAAATAAATGGAAGTAATTTGAGGAAGCAAAATTTCTTTCAAAGGGGAATGTGAATAAGCAGAGCTACTTAAGGCTAATGTGATGGGAAAATTAGATGCTACATTTTGAAGGAAACATTTAGAACATTGGGTCACCACCAAACTAACCAAGCCCATTGCTGTCGAGTCGATTCCAACTCATAGTGACCCTATAGGACAGAGTAGAACTGCCCCATAGGGTTTCCCAGGAGCGCCTGGTGGATTTGAACTGCTGACCCTTTGGTTAGCAGCCATAGCACTTAACCACTGCACCACCAGGGTTTCCAGATTGGGTCACAGGGATTCTTAAATTCTAACACAGTCCTCCTCCTCACCCCTCATAACTTCTCTGAGGGCTGTGACCCTCTCATACCCCACATTATTACTGCTTCTTGATCCTGTACCTAGGGTGCTAGATGGGCCAAGAGAAGGGACCGGCCTGGGTTAAAGGCATTGCTTCCCCACCTCTGCCCACCCCTTGGCTAGGAAGTGGAGGACTGGTTGGGATCACCCCACCATTCTCAGGGTGAAAGCTGTCCTCACAAGAGCACCTTCTTAGTAAACAGATTTTTAAAATGTAAATCAACATGACTAGATTAAGTTCGAAATTGAGGACTTAAATATAACACTGGTGTGTAATTTTAGAATTTGATTACACTGTGCAGGCATTTGATAAATACAGTGTGCGGAACTGCCATTTATTTGTATAATGTTTCTTCACAGACTGTGCCCCCCATAATTGAGATTTTATTGTTACATGTTGCCTGTACTTGTATACATGTGTTTTTTGGTGCTTGTCCTTATGTCTTTTTTTATGCCTCATTTCTGTTATATTATTATAAGGCAAAGTCTACAATTTCTATTTCTTTAGTACTCTTAACCCCAGGAAAGATACATTAGTTTTGCACCCAGAGTGCTGAATAAAAGTTGTTGAGTAAAAATTGTTAACCTCTAGGCAATCGTATATGTAGAATGAAAGTATGAATTATGCAAAGTAAATTGTTCATTTGCTTTCTTTAGGAAGAGTGCTACGTAGATCTGATTTAATGGGAACAATGCTTTGCATTTAAATACATTTAATGCATGAGCTCCCTTCATTTATTTTTTTTTAAAAATTGCCAAGTGTCCTCACTGTACCCGCATATAGGTAAACTTCTTAGAATAGATCAGAAAGTGTAAAATGACTCAGCTCAGTTGCCCCCCAGATTTGAGACCCTCTGGTGTATGTACCCCATTCTGTAGATAATCCAGCCTAATCCTTGTCTGGAGATGCATACCTGTGAGTATTGCCTAAGAGAGAATCAAGGAAGGGCCCATTTAGAGAAGCACATACAAAATGCCATGGGGTCCAAAGGAGGGAAAGAGCACATCAGTTGGGGACATTAAGGAAGGCTTTGTGAAGGAAATGGTGCATGGGATGGGCCTCAAAGGATAGATGGATGTTCATCAGCTCCAGATTGGAGGAAGTTGTTCCAGCCACGTAGAGGCAGGAACCCCTGTAAAGGCATGACTGTTAGGAAACTGTGGTTGAAAGTTAAGGTAAATACAGGGATACAATGTCCGCTAGTCCAATTAGAAATTTATAGGTTGTATGAGGGGTAAATCAAGAGAGGAGGATGATGATAATTTTAATGATGATAACCAGTATATGTGAGGTAACTTCTCAGATGCCAGGCATCATGTAAAGTATTTTACACGTGGAATCTCTTTTAATCTGGAAAAGGAGGTCAGGTCTATTTTTGTTGAAGATTGTTCATAAAACAGAAACATTAACAGAGCTGAAGTTAAAGCAGATTTATAAAGATGAATCACAGGAAAAGGTAGAAGGCAGGGAGAGCCTCCAGGAGGCCATTTGTATGTCCTCCTCAAGACATAATGAGGGCCTGAATTATTCTAGCATGAACATAAGTGAAAATACAAAATTGGTTTGTTTTAAATTAGAATTCATTTCAAGTTTCATATTGCAGCCTCTGCTAGAAATTGTATTTTCTAACTCAGGATGCTTCGGTTGAGTCTTGAGGATCTTAATGTCCTACATCTGGTCCTGGGTTCCTTACTGGGATAGAAGACCAGAGTAAATAAGGCCGAAGTCTCTTTGTGTTACTGTGGTCCCTGTTATGTGAAAAAAAAAAAAAAAAAAAAAATCGTCTCCTTAGTCATCTGAGACAGAAACCTGGGAGGCAGCTCAGACTCTTCCCTCTCCCTCATTCTCTACATTTTATCTGTTCCCATTTGACTGATGGGTCAAGATTGGCTCAGCAGATCATTTACTTCCTTACTCATTCATGTACCCAAACAAACAAAAACAAGCAAACCTGTTCCAGTGAGTCTATTCCAAACCATGATGACCCCATGTGTTAGAAAGTAGAAAACCCTGCTCCGTAGGATTTTCTTTGCTGCCTGTTATCTTTATGTAAGCAGATCACCAGGCCTTTCTTCCAAGCCGCTGTAAGCTCAGATTCCTTGAATGTTCAAGTTTTAAGCTACTGTGAAATACTAATCCCAACATTAACTGTCTTGCAGATTCCATTGTGATTGGATTTTGGGTTGGTCTTGCAGTCTTCGTGATATTCATGTTTTTTGTGCTGACCTTGCTGACCAAGACGGGAGCCCCACACCAAGAGTAAGTTTGGGTCGTTCATAAATGTTTGTTAAGTCCCATAAGGAAGTGAAGAAACAAACCAGTACCCAGGCCTGGGGTTGCTTCCAGTGGATGGAGAAAAGGGGATGGCTATGGGTTTGTTGTCTGGACCAGATGCTTGTGGAGCAGAATTCTGCCTTCCTCCTGGCACTTTGCCTCACTTCTGGGACTTGTTTTCACCTAGAGCTTGTGAACCTAGGTTTCTCGGTTCTTTCCTGCTGTCTTGCTGCTGATCCATGCCTGATTTTTATTAGTTAGGATGTATTTTCTCCTTATTCTTAAAAGGATTTAGATGATTCATCAGATTAAAACAGAGAAAAAAGACAATAGCAAAAATAGGATGAAAACCACTTTTAAAGAACTTTTAAAGGGGCAGAGAAATAATTGTTATTGAGCATTCAACTAAATTAATTATTGACAAATACTGAATTTAACACTGAATTTTCTTGAAGCTAGAATAAAAAGGGAAGCATTATGGATTGTATATTCTCATAATATGATAAAGAAAGCATTTGTATTTTTTTAATTACTAGTTCCCCATTGCGTGGATTCTAACTCCTGGTAACTCCATGTGTGCCAAAGTAAAACTATGCATAGGGTTTTCAATGGCTGATTTTGTTGGAAGTAGATCAGCAGGCTTTTCTTCCAAGGCACCACTGGGTGGACGCGAATCTCCAGCCTTTTGGTTAGCAACCGAGCACTAACCATTTGCATCACCCAGGGACTCCATTTCTTCAATAAGCATAATGATTACGTGGGTGCTTAAAGAATGTTGAGTAACATCATGCTCCCATTATCACGTAGGTGCTTAAAGAATGTTAAAGAACTTCGAGTAACATCATAAAGTATCTATTTGTTTGGTTATGGTTTGCAAAAAACCCTGAAAGTTTTAGAGGATATTTCTTTATCCCAACTCTTCTTCAAAGGTAAAGGCAAAAATAACATACGTTGAATACGTTGTTGGTCGGTCCCAGCAGGCAACAGATGTTATTGTTGTTAGTTGCCGTTGAGTTGATTGCAACTCATGGCACAGAGAGCGCATTCAAATTGGGGAATTAGAAAAGCTTTTGATATTCAGAAGTTGTGGACAGAGGGGAGGGCAACCTGATAGGATAGTGCAGCACCCCAGGGATAGCAACGCTGAGGAGCAGGTATCATCTGAGATCTGAAGGGGTAAGGGGAGGGAGCCATGACTGGAATCCAGGAGTCCTGTGAAAAGGGCTGCCTGAGAGGGGCTGTGACCTTGGACCAAGGGCACAGCTAGCCCAGGGTAACTGCTCAGGGAGCTTCAAAATAAATTCCAAGACCTCACTTACCTCCTTCCTTGCCATCTCCCATATCATTCCCTGTTAGCTGAACACAACCAGCAGCTAGAGGCAGTTTCTCAGGGCGCAGAACAGGGTCGGGGAGAATGGAGTAAATGGAAGAAATTTAGCACAGATTCCTAATGTTATGCATTGAATCCTCACAGCTTGACAAGGGCATATGAGTAAACTGAGGGTTCATCCTGCACGCTTTCATTTTTGTGTTTCATCCCACAGCCTCTGGCATCTGCTGTTCAGTCTTCAGGTTATACTTGCACTGTAACATGTGCCTGGGTAAAGGGAACAGTTCTGCCCAACAGTTAGCTATTTCCAGGCATCAAAGTCCAGAAAAAAATGTTTAAATGCCAACATTTTAAATGAAAGGAAAATACCATTTTATTGAAGCATATGGAGACATAAGGTTGAGAATTTCTTTAACAGCCACTAAAAATACATGAACTTTCCTTTCTCTCTCTTGATGTCCTTATAAACATCCACACTTGCCTTTTCTATAGGTTCAGGGAATTTGAAAATGTGCTGTGGATTGTAACAGTAGTAAGAAAAGCTGAGGATGAGCTCGGGTTACAGCACATTTTATAGAGCGGTCAGGGAATAACAACGCCCTGTTATCTTCCTTTTCCTCTGAGGGCAAGAGGGATTTTTGCAGGGTTATTGAGATGGTTTTGTTTTCATGTAGGAGGCAGGTGATTTTATGGATGAGAACACCTTAGTACAGAACAGATCATGGCTTTCTTAAGGTGTCATGGTGATCCTGGGTAGTTGAGACTTGCATTTTCAGTTTTCCAATTGGCAGTTCAGTCAGACTGCTAGATGGTCTCTCTTTTTGACGAAGGTTCTGAATGGCTTCCAGTCAGAGAACAGTGGTCATCATAACCCTACATGCGTCTCACAAGGTCAAAAAGAAAGCCTAATTTTTTTTTTTTTTACTTTTAATAAAATGATGGATCAGCTCTCACGGCCGTACTTTAAATGCTTTCGTACACAGTCTGAGGCAACATGAGATACGGAGTTTGGTTGCAGTATATCATAATAATAAAAATTGAAAAAATCAGACATGTGGAAAAACCCTTAATTGGATCAGTTAAAGAAAGCTTTTAGATCTTAGTAAACTTGACATTTATTTGGCAGGAATTTTCTTCTAAAGCAGACATTGTTTTTTTTGGTTTTGTTTTTTGTTTCTCCCCATACAGCCATCTTTAATATAAAACAACTCACTAAGTTTCTATGTGATAATTAGGAGTGAGGGAAAGAATGAGAAGTCATTGAGAATAATAATAAGAGTTAACTTATCAAGTGTTTACTATATGCCAGGGACTACTAATCATCTTACATGCATTATCCACTAAATCCTCACAAGAAGATAAAGTAAGTCTTATAACTGTCCCCATTTTACAGATGGGGGAAAAAAAAGGCTAAAGCAGTTGCCTGAAGTTTCACAGGTATAACTCTATAGAGCCAGGCTTCAAACTAAAGTCTTTTTGACTCTTAATTTCCTGTTCTTACCCATTACACTAAACTTTGTCATACTGATAATTTTTAATTTCTTCCTTCTTTTGAAAAAGAGATCTTAGCAGGCAGCCAGTTTTTTTTTTTTCCTTTGGTCACTTTCTGGACCAAGCATGGGCCCTGGAGTCAAACATTTCCAGGTTTGCTTATTGAGACTCTTGGCCAAACTCTTAATCTGTGCTTGAGGTTTCTCATTTATGAAAAAAAATAAAGTAGTATCTGCCTCCTAGGATTACTGTAAAGATTAAATGAGACAATACCTCTAGAGCTGCTGGCGTACACTGGACTGACAGTGTCATTCAGTAAATGTTAGTCCACCCCTGCTGTGCTGGCAGAAGTCCTGGGGAGACATGAAGGGTCTGGGTAAAGAGTAGGAGGGAGAAGAAAAAAACCCATCACCTCATGAGATAACCAGGCCCTAAGCATTCACATTGTGTCTACACTTGTTCACATGTTGCCTCGTTCTTCCCCAGCTTCAGCTTGGGTGCATCTCAAGAACGAAAGGTGTCAAAGTAGAGAATCCTGGGGATGGTTCCGAAGAACTAACATGTCTGAATTCTGATTGCTTTACGTACAAGGCTGTGTGGATGGTTTGTCACAAAGAACAGTTACTTGCTCAATTAGGATACTAGGCGGCATCCTTTTTGAACACATGACTCCAACATTCAGGTTAAGGTACCTGGTCAAGTCTGGAATCTCAAATACATGAATCAGTGCTGGATCTACTACTTAATTCTTTTTCTCCGTGGGGGCATCTCAGGGCAGGGCTGAGTGATTCCATAGGATCTCATCATGGCTGGTACATGGAAAGAGTATGCGCATCTCTGAAATAGTAGTAGGACACAGGATGGCAGGTAACTAACATCTGTGCCCCCACTTCCTGTGCCTATGCCCACAGCAGACATCACTAATTAACTGTGTCCTCTTTCTTGCTTAGCCGAGACTTGACCTCAGAGTCGTTTTCAAAATAACTCTAGGCAGCCATCCAGAGTCAATTACAGTTTTTTTTTTTTTGGACAGAGAACACATATTTGACATCCCTGGCTGGACTTCCCTTTAACATCGTTGGGTGACAGGAGTTGAGATCCATTCCAATTGCACAGATCCAATGACACCACGATAAAATGGACATTTTTTTTCTGAAGTTTTTAATTTGGGATCATGTTAGGATAAGCACTTCAGTTCTGGAATCACTGACTGCTCAATGGCTTCTGCTCAATGGCTTCTGTTAGTGGAGGGATATGTAATAGGCTAGGCTAGGCTCTGATGCAGTAACAATTCCCCAACTCTCAGTTTAACACAAAACCCAGTAAAAACCAGTTGCCATTGAGTCGATTCTAACTCATGGCCCACCCCATGTGTGTCACAGTAGAACTGTGCTCCACCAAGTTTTCAATGGCTGTGATCTTTCTGAAGTAGATTACCAGGACTTCCTTCCGAAGCAGCTCTGGGTGGATTTGAATTGCCAACCTTTTAGTTAGTAACTCAGTGCATCGCTGTTTGTGCCACCCACAAAGGTTTATTTCTTGCTCAGGCTACATGTCTGCCAAGGGTCAGCAAGGGGTTGACAGAAGCTTCTCAGTCGTGTAGCTGTACTACCCGTAATACTCAGCCTCCTGGGTTGGTGTGACAGGAGAAGAGAACACCTGGAGATCTCAGACAGCTTCTGTTCTTCCACCTGGAAGTGAAACACATCACTGGTCAGAACTAGCCACACCCACCTAACTGCCTGAGGGCTGGGAACGGTAGTCTTCTGTGCTGCCAGAAGAAGGGAAGCAGATATTGGTGAGCACAAGTAATGTATCGGGGGAAAGATGTGGCTTTCTGCTCCCATGAAGATTATTGTTGTTGTTGTTCTTAGGTTCTGACTCATAGCAACCCTATGTACAACAGAACAAAACACTGCCCGGTCCTGCGCCATCCTCACAATCGTTGTTATGCTTGAGCCCATTGTTGCACCCACTGTGTCAATCCATGTCATTCAGGGTCTTCCTTTTTTTCACTGATCCTCTACTTTACCAAGCATGATGACCTTCTCCAGGGACTGATCCCTCCTGATAACATGTCCAAAGTATGTGAAACGAAGTCTCGCTATCCTCACTTCTAAGGAGCATTCTGGCTGTACTTCTTCCAGGACAAATTTGTTCATTC